ACGGTATCGGGGAGGTTCCCGTGATATTTTCCCTGGTCGCCAGGGTACTTGTTGGATTTGGGCCGCAATAGACATGAATGTATCATCCTCTAGCCTTCATATATAGCTCATGAGGGGTTTCTACGTGCGATATCTGGAGCTAAAATGAAGAATATTCTGTGCTCAATCATTTCTCATCTACCGCTGGCTATCTTGTGGCTGGCAAAAACATGGGTTTATTAGTTGTGGCTTGTCGAGATATGCTTGTCTCACTGTAGAGGCACCTCTACATGGTTCCAGCCTGTTTTGAGAATCGCTCCTCTTGTTTATTCTGAGCTTCAGTGAACGGCCACGGCAACCCACTGTCCGGTATTTGCCAGTACGTCGTGTCGGAATAATTGAGCAGAGAACATCTCCTTCCCTGTGCAAGACACTTTGGTGGACAGGCGCGTTCGTGTGTTTGGTTTGTTACCATTCATCAAGTGCTTCACACATGTGCGATATCGTCCACAGAAATTTTCCCTGACATGATAGTATCCTATGCTGCCGACAGCTGAACTTTGTTCCAAATTGCTTTCAACTTGAATGCTAATGTACGCAGTACAAAAATGTATCATAGGGTATGCGACTTTCCGTCGGATTTACGCAATACTCTCACATCATAATGTCCATTCAGCAACCAATAGGGGCTCAATACCATCAGTAATATGGGAGACGCCCTAAGATCGCTTTACTTTGCCGTTCATATAACCCATGGTCAGTTTTACCTACGCCGCAAATTCTATATTGACTTTCGGCCCAAAATGTCGTTATGCCAAGGACTCGTCGATCTTCCCTGGAGAAGGGAAGTAGGAACGTGGAACCCCTCGGCATGGCATAACTTGCGAGAGGCACGACCGGTTGTTGGTGACTTCGTTTTCTCTGCCACAATTTCGGAATAACGACGGAAAATATGCAGACCCGTGCTCCGAAGCGTTTCAGCCTTGGTCCTATGAAAATTTTCACATTTTCTAAAGCGTAGTTCCTGTGGTGTTGTGATCTCCTTCCAGTGACAAGAACAACGTGTATATTTACCTCCCGATACATCTTGACCACTCGGCTTCGGAGGTCGATGTCTGGCCTGCTCAGTAGGTAACGATTCCTCGCTTTAGCTATTTAATTCTTACAACTTTGTATGTTCATAGTCGTGCTCGCAAATGTCTGATGGTCTCGAGCGAGTAATATTTCCGACATGTCAACCTCTCTCTGCGCCACATACACAATCGTCCTACGATTCCTGAGGCTGTACGTCATTCTGGTTTCCCATGACTTTTCCAAAGCTTAATCGACTGATCCTTCTCTTAGTTGCACATTCAAACAGTCACACAGGCAGATCCATGGCTCGAGCGAAGCCCGAGTCCGCCCAGACGAGCATCTCTTGTTGTCGTTTGAAGATGATAAATGAAAGTACTGTTGTCCTCCTTCGATAACCCTTGTTTTGCACTAGGATTCTCTCTGGTCTCTTCCACAGAAGGGTAAAATTCCCATGAAGTCAACGCGCCGCTGATATTCAAATTTGCGGGCAGAACCCCTTACGTGGCGGCGTTCAGCTACGAAGTCGCGTCAGGGTTAACAAGGCATCAAGGGTCGCTGCTTTGACATGTCACTGTGTCTTTCTTGCATGTCATTGGTCGTTCCTTCGAGCTTCAAACATGAGGTGGCTTCATAACTTCTTAGCCGGTTATTGGCGCGCCTCGAGGTAAGGGTTCTCTGGAAAGCACCGGGGAGAGTCTCGGAAGCCGGTCCTGAGGCATGGGAATAATCGTCTGGAAGAACAGAGCTCAGAAGGGCAGAAAAGGGTGCGTGTTGAGGTAGATACCTCGATAGTGACCTCATGGCTAATCCTCCTCGAAACTCCCTGAAGGCTGCGGAGAACTATACACGAGGATCTGCCTTCTAGTTCCTTTGCAACATTCAATTGCGGGGATCAGGTACCCAGAGTTCAGCTACGTAGGTCAGTCATTTATTGGCTTGTGAAACACGGAATCTAGGTTGGACTGCTGTAAAGAAGCGCGGTCCGCTTTTTCTCAGCGCCCATAATGATATTGAGTCGTGACTCGCCATATGCCACCCGATCGAATACTCTGAGCTCTCTTCATCGACAGAATAGATGAGTAGGGAAGCACACCATGAGTTGCGTGAGTCTTCCTTGGCATCCTTTGAAACACACTCTCTGCGCCCTGAAATTGAAAATAAAATATTTCATATTCACTTGAAGGCGTCGAGATGTTGCTTGAAAACTCTTCAATATCTTTTTTGACGGAATCTCTGCGCAACCTATCCTAAGTCAAACTGCATCAGGAATGATCGATAGGAGTTGGCACATTCGTTGGGTTAATATTTATTATTCAATGCTCAAGAGAGCCATTCAAAAATCTAAACATAGAGAAAATATTCATTCGGTAGCTCGTTCTAGGCTAGTCTAAAGAGTTACTCTCTGTGAGCAACCAGAGAGCGACGATTATAAAACGCCGACATGCATGCTAAATTCGCTGGACAAAGAACGTAGGCCCCATTTCAGACCGAGCTTCACCGATAGGTTCCTGCACTACAGCCGCCATGCATCACCTCTGACTTTCCATCATGGAGTTAAGTTCCATCTTGAGGAACGGAAAGGCCTGAGACATACTTATAGCATCCACCATAGACGTCTATCGTTTGAAGCTCGCTGCTCGATTTCTTCTCTGCGGATCTCTGAGCAAAAACGCTCTTTTGCTCGTCCATGCATGTTCCTACCTAGAAGTGCTCGATCCAATTTCTTTGCCTTTTTTGAAATTCTGATTCCGTGATCTAGATAAAGGGTACCCAATCCTGCGTTCGTTTCATCCCTTGGTAGGCCAGGCAAATGTTCCCTGATATATATTTCTCCTAGAAGAGTTATCTACGAAAAGAAATGAACGTTTGAACTCCTGTTGTACCCACTTGCGCTTAAGCTTGCACGATACTTGTATCTTCGCTACACTTTTTCCCGCTATATGCCGAGGAGCGAATGTTGGTACGTCGCATCGGCTTTCACATATGTACGCCACATGATGATTAATATAACGTGTCTTTTGTGGTCCAGTTATGAGGGTCAAAGCTTGTCTTGATGGTACAGTGGTAGTCAATGCACTTTTGAACACGTTCTGAGGCATTTACTTCTTCAGGAAGGCGTGTTCCTTCTTTTGGATGTGCCACAGACCTAGTTCAACTGTGGGAAGCACTTGATTTCTTAAGAGCTTGCTACGCGGTTGATCTATGTCGTAAGAAACGGAGCCAAAGATAGCGGAGAATGGGAATAAAGAATTGTATGACTCTATTTCATTGCCACCATTCACCACATACTCAATGATTATCTACAGTTTAAAAGACAATTGGCTTCCATTAATAGATCCTTCTTTCTCCTTGTTCAGAGGCCGTTGCCAGAAATGGCCAAAAAGACGCGATACAAAGTATCCTGCCACTTCACCACGTGTCTCCCCTTCCTTCAAAAGCCCAGCGGTGGAACCTATCGTCTACCACGTACCCTCTCCTGAAAATTGCCTTTGCTACATACCCTCTGTCCACCGCCATGATTTTTCCTCCAGATGTCGTCGATTCGCGGGATTTGTTCATGCTCGCCGCAGTTGCCGTGGAACAGCAGCCTCTTCTCACCAAGGAAGTTGTACTCGAGGAAGATTCAGATGTTGAGGACATTACCGATCAAGTGAAGGGGAGGAAATGTGGCTCGCGCAAGAGGGCCTTGTCGTGAGTTTCGTCTGCATTCGCTACTATGGGAGAGTAATTGACGCGTCGTTCTTCACTAGCGTAGATTGTGAGGCCGAAAATTCTTTGAAACGAGCCAAGGATGAAGCTGGGAAGGTGGTGGCCACTTATTCGGTGTATGTTATTTCGTTCTTCTCTCTATTCGCGAACTGGATTAATTTTCTTGTAGGTCGAAGATCGAACGGAAATTCAGCAAAGAAAATGCTAAAGTGGCGGATGCTTCTGGGTCGGCCATGTGCGTTGTGGTATCAATCGGTTGTTAGATGTTCTGACCAATCATTTATTGTAGCGCTCCAATGCCTCGCCGCATTTACCCGTTCCCAAAACCAGCTCAAGGCATCCAAAAATCCATCAAATCTATACCGGACGTCGACATCAGCTGGATTCCCAAATCATACCGAAAAAGAAGCAGCACCTCACCCGACACTCCCATGCATAAGCTATTCTTGTCCGAGTGCAATTACCTCCTACCGGAATACCACGAAAATGGGGCTGTGAGAAGGAGGAACCAAAACGAGCGTGAGGAATTTTTGAATGCTGATGAGTGGGCTGAAGTCCGTGGGGGTTATGAGGTGAGATGCAAGGCATGCAAACGCGACATCTCGCTCGACCCCCGTGAAGGCATGTACTACGCGAACCTGTGGATCAAACATAGGTCATCGTGCCCAGGCGTTTACAGCTCTTGGCTTGAGAGGAACGGTTGGAGTCGAGATTCAGACAAGGATTGGTTTCGGAACAAAAGGATAATGCATTGAAGAACGCTAACAAAGGGGAGACGAGCGGCACGTAGAATATAGATACTGGTATTTCTCCTTCTTTAATGAATTTTCACAGCACATACTGTTACTAATGGGGTCACTCCTTTATTTTATTTTATTCTGTTTTGATTCTGCCTGTTCGGAAAGTGCTTAGTTTATTAAGCACCAGACCCTCCCTCTAACAAGCCCACCTTTTAATGCATGTATAATGCTCTTTAATTATATTCCTGCACTTCAACTAGAAGGAATTCCATCCCCTGTTGAATTCAATAGATGCTTCGGCAGCTTGTCGATTCGATCAACAATCGGGAAGGGAGTTTTCCAAATCGGGCTCCATATAGTTTGGCCGTGCTTTCTTCCCAGGCCGTCGGGTCAGCTCCATTTTTTCTTTCCTGCCAACACAGGTGGCGATCGCGCGGTATCGAGGCGCCTATGTCTTTCTATTGTGTCTGGGTTCGCACTGGTATGGAGGTGTGGATGAACATATCTGGCTGTCTACTTCGTGCAAGGATTCCGTGGCCTACATGTCTCAAGCAGGGCAACAGTTCCTGTTTGTTGCCGCGCACAATATCACAAAATAATGACCTTTTTCAGTATCTCTGAAGGTATCTTTGAATCTACATTGTATAAGCATCTTATTCCGTGCCTCCGTTATGTGATGCCGCACGGTCTGTAGCTCGAATCTAATTTGAACGCGCAAAGCCAATAATTCGGTCTGCGGTGAGACCCTTCTAACCAGAAATATATAGTTACATGATGGGCCGAATCGGTTTCGTCTTCACGAGGTCGGAATAGCTGAAGGATTGCGACCAGATCTATGACGAAGTACCAATCAATAAGAAATTTCTTGCTTCTCATGCGCTGAAATGAGATGCTTGATGCCAATAATAGCTGTAGAAGTCAGGTTAATAGGAGTAAGGCAGTCCCTCAGCTCTTCATGTATGAGTCTCCTCGACTTCTCCCTTATTTTCTTGCTAAACGTGTATGTTTTAGCCTTAGGCTCCTAATGTGCGTTATCTTGGATGGGGTTACCAAGATCATTTACTCCCTCTATCTCCCACACGTTCGGCGTATGGAGGCTCGGATCGTTTCAGTCCGCTCAGAAGGGGTCTCATTCATCATTAGCTCATACGATATGGCATGATCATTGCCTATAAGCTGAATAAAAGTCGTTAGGTTTTTTGCTCCTACATTAGCTATTCTCCGACGTTCATCAATCATCCACAACTGTCGACACCGGGACTTCGAATTGCCTATGTCTCATCTATGACTGTTGGCTTTTCTATTTCTCGTCCGCCGGGTGTGGTTCTTCCTTCTCGTTTCCCGCTGAAGGCATACTGATAGTGGTCTTAGTTTTCGTGGCAATTCCATCAAAGAGTCAACGTACCATCTTTGAACCCTACGGTCAAAAAGTCTGAGAATGACAGGAATGTATCTTCCCCTCTGGTGAAAATTGAGATCAATTTTGTATGTCTGTGCCTCGATGATATACAGATACTCACAAAACTTCAGAAGCGTTGCCGTCATCAATAAGCTCTGGGCCCAAGACAATTGGCTCGGTATGCTATTCGGTTGATGATGATGTCGCTGATAGCCTATTTCGTCGGACGGTGTCAGTTGCTTTGAGAACTTCGCAGTCTGTGAGTTCTCGAGACGATGCAAGTAAGACTGGTCGCTCTGTCTGTTCAGTACGCAAGCATCAGTCCTTTCTCTCTGTCCATAGGGCGACGGTGTCTCCTGGAATAGAAAATGGGGAGTCGTCTTCGAAGCCTGAAAGAAATCACCGCCATTTTGTTCCTCCACTCTGCGCGTGGTGTTGAACATGATTTAGAAGTCCGTAATCCCTATGCGGCGTAGATACTGGAAACGCCAACACTGTCATCGCTTTCTCATTGGCAGACTCACGAAATTCTGCGACGCTTGTGCCGCGAACGTATGATAGTATGGGCGACTCCGTACAAGGACAAATGTGTTGCTATGAACCTGGGCACAGCCATCTGTAGGTGTGGCTTTGACTCGTCATACCGTTATCTGCTAATGCATCAAAAGACTCTACGCGGTGGACCAGAGCGTCCTATGAATTGTGGCCTTTCCTCGCCCGATGAAAGATATTAATCTATACATACAGTGCACTTGCTCTCGTTCGGGAGACAGATAATGTCCTTCTCAATCGGAGATGTCCTTGGTTGGAAGCGTGCCGTGGGAGAACACGAGTTTTTTCTCCAAGCCACTCTTCCTGCGCTCAAGCCTCCCGAGGTTCGACCGTATGCGTACTCAAATGTTTTTTGCTGGAAGCGTAAGTGCCTTGCCTCGTCTACTCATGGCGCTTTCTCATGGTCGCTAGGAGCTAACACGTGTTGAAGCTATCTGAGTTAGGATCATTCAAGGGTATTACTGTGGTTCCTGCCTTCCCTCGTTTCATACATCAGCACCAACGACCATCGAAGTTCTTCGAATTTACAGAACAATTCCAACCATCCTGGAATGGTTCCTCTCATGACAGCGAATTCACGTTTCATGATGCCTTTTACTGTGCGTTTGGAGCCTCGTAGAATTTCCATCGACTTTTGAGGGAAAGGCTTGTTGTTCCGGATCCGACGTTGAATTGGGAGGACGTCGTCTCTCCTGTCTGCTCACGACATGAACATGAGGCGAATTCTCCGCTCTAATGTATGAATAGCAGCCTTCTCACTCTTCAAAATGTCATTTTCTGACGTTTCCAGCGCCACCGTGCGATATCTCGGGTGGACGTGCGTAATAATGTCTCGACCAACCCCTCGTCGCTTTCAGGATGTTGGCTCATAGCTGCTTCTGGCGAATATCTCCCTGTATCTTACGAAAGCACGTATGCGGAGGCCCGTTTTTCCAGACAGTACCTGTCAACTAGGGGACTGGAGAGACAGATGTCTTACGGATACTATAGGGTTCGAAGTTCCTCTTTTACTTCGAACGGAGAAGAAGCATAGGGATGATGAAACATGGAAGCCTCGAGTCCTTTTACATTTCAAAGTCGGCGATGATTTTGGAACGGCTATCAAAAAGGAGCCCAGGAACCTCTAAAGCTTCATCGGTATACTTCCGCGAAATGTCCTATTGCTCCATCGGGAACCTGAATACTCTCTGGATCGCTGGTTAGAACGTATTTAGCTAAGTTGGCAGGAACTCGAAATTTGTTCTCATTCGGGAGTCACTGCCGCTTCAGTGAGGCACGTAAGTGTTTATGCTCGTCAACAGCACAGCGAACAAGAAGAAGGCGGCCGCGTAAAGAAGTCCAGTTGTCGGGGCCCGAGAGCCATCACGCTCTCCCGCAACGTACCGCCAACCTACTCTGTTTCCACATATATATATGCGCTCGACGAACTTGAAGCAGACACATGCAGCTGCCTTGTAAGCTTTAGTTGTACTTTTATGATGAGACAGCCAGCCGGCTAACAATGTGTTGCTACAGAGATGATCGGACTCCGCAAAGCGCGCTTAAGAGCACCCTTTCCATCTGAAGAATGGTATGGGGCGAGCGCAAACTTGAAATTTAGGTCGTAGTGTGCTCAAACCCCTGCAACAGAAGATAATTGTTAAGAAGTTTAGATAACATAATCCTTTCTCACATGAAATCCGACCGCCAGCCAAAGTACTTGAAATCTAGAAGGCATCCTTCAGACACGGGGCCAAACGACATGGCGAAGTTTCTTATCCATTCTCGCATGTCGACGGTTGTTTTCATGGAGCTCCATTCTGGGATTACATTAGCTCCTTGTCACGTTCATCTGGAAACTAGAAGGCCAGATGCAGACAAAGCGGCCTCTGTCATTCCCAGCTAATAGTGAGTAGCCCAACGAATGCTTTCCTCACCTTTTCCTTTTTTTCTTCTTTCTTTCTTATTTTGGGAACTGGTCAGTCAGCTCACGTTCTCCCTGTTTTTGGTTTTGTAGGGTTAGGGTTGGCCTTGTTCTCGAAGGTTCTGAAAGAGCTGTTATGCAGAGGTAGGTGCGTCTTCGTCAGCTTTACTCGGATATCAATTTAGAGCAGAATTACGCATGGTTTACTCCAAAGATGAACGGAATCTATGACCTTAGTTCCAGTTGCTCACATATCTGGTGCATTGTACCGAGCTCTACCGGTAATCCATTCTCTTCGGCCTGAAGAGACCTTCAGTGCCTTGAACCCGGCTAAATTCAGAGTTCCGTTCTCGATCATTAGCAGAGATATTAGACTCTGTAAGGAACTTCGAAGAGAACTTAGCGTTTTCCTTAACTGTATCGCATGTGGTCCTCCGTTGTATTGCGCTGTGTCGTTTTTTCAAGTCGAAACAGGGGAGGATGCCGTATGGACTTAGTTCACACATCACCCGAGCAACGACTTGGTGGGTGTCTCTGTCCTTTCTACTCTATGCGAGAGGCCGATTACCGTCATAGGCACCTATGGTATGAAGCAGGGCGATAGAACTATCATGGCGCTGTACTTCAGAAGTCGTTCCTCGCTTGCAACTACTGTCTGAAACGATGAGGCGGATTTTTTCCCTCGTCGCATGGACATTTATTTGTGAAATAACGATCTTAGAAGAAGCAGTGTTTGAGCAGTGTAGGCCATGCCACTGAACTGCTTCAACAGATGGCATATCTTCGTGCTATTTTAGTTAGTGCGCACTGTTAGAGACTCTGACATCTTTGGTAGTTACGGAGGCAAGCGATAATACGGCAATCTTGAACGCGTGGATGAGTGGTACGTCCAACTCTAAGCAAGCTTTGGAAGGTCTCCGATCTTTCTCGAATATCGTTATGGGCTTCGGAATGGAAGAAGTTCTTTCGTTACAGAAATCTCGCTGAACGGGGTGGTTGCGGCTACTCAGTCGTTTGTCCTTATGGAAGCACAGTTGGCAAGCAGTATGTTACATTCTGAATAACCGAGCTTTGCTAGCTACGCTTCTTCTTACATGCTAGTATTTTTCAGATAGTCCAGAATTGGTCCCGTACGTGCTTGTGATTAGAATATCCTTTGGACGAACAGCCGTAGTACTACAGTAGTAGCAGTTCACTGAAGCACTTCAAGTCACAGTGGGTCCATTACAATCAAGGCACATTTAAGAAGCGATGGTAAATCAACGGCCCATGCAAGTCAAAGAAATCTGTCTGGAGAACAGACAACCGCTGTCGTGCCTAAGAGTTAATTTCCTGACAGAACCGACAGCTCAAGGAGAAGAAGAAGAAAGCAGGTGCCATGGGAGGGGTATCCGGGAGCAGGTCCGTTGCATCACCGACGGCATGCTAGGCCGAGGTAATTGGAATGGAACAACGACACGGTCAGCGGCCTGAATTTAAGTAACCAAGTCTGGGAGAAGCTCCTGTGAGCGAATGTCGGACGAATAGGACACATGAATCGGCTCAGTAAGGGAAATAGAGAAGACTTGGAAGGCCAAGTTATCTGAGCTTTCTTTGATGCGAGCGTCATCTTTTTGGCTGGCCGACTACTTAATAACAGAGTCAATGGAGATACCTAGAAGCATTCGATAGCTTGAGGCCAGTAGCCGTTATGGTGGGTATTTGAACGTCAAGTCTTCTGATTCTCTTTATAAATTGATAGATATAATATATATACCTGTAACGTAGCATCCTTCGATAAATCATAAGAATAACCCTCAGAACCCTTCGAAAATTCCCATTCTGTGCCTGTGTTCTCTTCCAACTCTCAGCCTTCACTTGTAGTCTTTATAGATCTTTATTGGTCCACTGGGACGACAAGGATATACTCCAATCGGTCCTTGCTGGGGAGAAATGCCTTCTTGACAGGGGGGCAAGTTCCTTTCTTAGGCCGAAAGTCGGTTAGGCGGTACCGACAAATTCAAAAGAATTGGAAAATATGGGAGAAGTGAGTACTTCTCGTTCGAATCCGCATCGCGACAAATTCGTCGGTATTCATGCAGAGTATCCGAGTCGCCCAGTAACATCAGTCGGCGCCCGAGATACCCGGATATCCACATGAGGTGGAGGGAGGATGATCCCCGGCATCTGATACTATCAGATTAAGACTGAATGCCTCTTGCGACATGGATTGGAGATGGAGAAAGTGGTCATAGCATACATCATATGATAAGCTTGGTAGGTTGGCTGCCTTTCTAAACGCTCCTCGGACTAACATGCCGTGCACATGAAGCGCTGATGCAAGTGATTCTTCGCTTCAGAAAGGCTTCAACTACTAATAATACAACGGAGACTGAATCAATAGAAGTTTGTAATTATGGTTGATATTATCATTGCTCAGAAATGGACAATGAAGCGCCTAAACATTTTACCGATGTCAACCTCTGTATTCTTGAGATGACACGGGAACGGCGAAGAATGCAAGGCATGAGAACAGCAACACGATGCACCTAGAAGCCCCAAATGCACATGATACTAGCCGATAATACCGTTAGCTTACACTAGAAAAGGCGCCGTACAATATAAATATATGTGCCTACCTAATTCGGGTTCGAGCGGCCTTGCATCGAAGACGCCACAAAGGTAGACTTATCCTAACGTGGAGACTTGTTCTTCGCTGCCAAAAAGTGGCTTCCATCCCTCATTCTTGTTAATGAAGAAGCGAAGCTGAGGTAGCCAACGATATTTGAGGTGCCGCCGGTGCTGACTCGCCATTAAGTTTTCAATGTCACGGGGGGGGGACTCTACACGAGCTTTCCTAGTGTCCCTAAGGGCTTGGCACCATCATGATTCCTCGCCGCTCGTACAAAATAAATGTCCCTGGAAACAAGAAAAGGTCCATCTCCCGAAAATCTAAACACAGAAGCCCGGGCGGACCACAATATCGTCTGAAACGTCTCGAGAACCCTAAGAGTAAGGATAGATATATTTGAACGACAGACGTTCGACAAATCGTATAGAATATAATGCACCAATTGAAAGCTGCAGGCTTCCCGGCGGTGTTTAAAGCTCTATATTTTGCTCCATCTGGCTTTTCTGAACCAAGCCAATGGCTTGTGGACGTTTGTGGGTCCCTACTGCTGCGAGATAGATATCTTTTTCAAGTTTCAAAAGCTGCAGTAAGTGCTACAATTAAGAGACGTTACCGATTTTGACAACTTTAAATGTAAATAATACAACATGAAACTTTGATGTGAATAGCCATTCAAAACCGTTTCGTGAAGAGTTTCTTTGCATGAGGCAGATACGAAGGCATTGGGCATGCCGGAGCAATTATGCTTCGGAGATACCCTGTCTCCCTTGATGATCATTCAAGCTATGTCCAGTAATAATTGAAGCGGTGTTTTGAATAATCAAGCATCCATCATGGGTACAGGGACGGTGATGTAGACGACAAGAACATATGTGTTTAGTGAGTTAGTGAGTACTTTCCTAGTTAAGTTCGTCCGACAGCGACAGAGCACCATACGCACACGCTTCCTCGATGATTCTTCGCTTCCGGAGGATCCACACCAGCAAGTATCGTAAGAGATGATCCGTAGAAGGATAATAATAGGAAACGGGATGATCGACATGAAGTACCTCCAAGCGGATACGTAGGTTGATCTTTCAGCCGTTTCGAGAATCATTCGTATGATGTTATGGCTGGAAGATTAATGCGAACGATAAGGTGGTCGGTCGTTCCTGCAGTGAGATAGACGTCGATGGTACCTGCAGCGAGGTACATACGACAGTGACAAGAGACGGACTGAGGACCGCTGAACACTGATGAACACAAACCGCTAAGACATTGATGAGCGCCCTACCGGGCGAGAAAGGGCGCTCCATAGCACTTAACCCGTTAACATCACTTCGCAGTCCATTACCTATCGCCACCGGATTCCTAAGATGAATCAGCGGTCTAGAACCTCGAGCGGCGCATGGCGAAGTCTACCCGCAATCGGGCACTTGGACTGATTGTCAGCATCCCTTGTTAATGAAAGTGGTATGAGGCACCCACAGGAGTACGGGCATCATCGGCCGAGGCTCGCAGATGTTGTGATGGTTGGGAGAAGATTATTTGGAAGTAGACGGCTGACAACAGACGTGAGCCGTCGGTACGGGGAATATATTGCAGGCAATAACAACAATCTAGGCCCCACAACGTCAGTGATATCAGGGAAATCAGTATAACACAACGTACGTTTCCTAGTCAATAAAGTGAACTTAAAACGGTAAAGCTGAGAAGAAGGCGCAGCACCCGGTGTTGGGGGGATGACTGAGCGAATGGGCTCAGCTTGCCGAGGTGCTTACGGTACGTGATAATTCTTGGAAAAGGATGCGGTAACACCCTCTCGGCAAGACGGAACGATTTCATGATGATTTCATCACCATTCGACCCTGACACAGCCACTTTCGTCTTTACCCACTCGTTCCTGCCCTTTTCATCACTTCGTAATCTCTATGAGTGCAGCCCCTCCCCCGATTAGAGTGGATGAATCCGAATACGAACGGAAGTGCCTCGCCGTCCTTTACCTCGGAACGCATGCAAATGCAAGACCACGAGCGCTTAACTATGAATATGTTTTGATGGTGTTCGGCGACCAATACAGATGGTACGTTTTTATTACCCGAGAAAACGCTCGTCAAACGTTAATTGAACTCAGGGAGCACATGTGGGCAGAAGAAAAAATACGGTATGAATTGACAGGTTATTTAAGGCATCGGACCGAACAACGCGGAAAAGGATGGTTCAGGCGTGGTGGTGGCAGGGTTAGTATGTTGTTGTCGATCCCGACCATGGGCCGCCCAGTATAAGTATTGCACGCCCGACCCTCTAAGAAGAGTTACTCCCCTCCCCCCTTACCTCTTATCTCTACGTCCTAATGTCTCCCCTCGTCCTCGTTTCACTTGCCCTTCTTCTCGCCATTCTACTTCTTGTCCTCCTTCCCCGCCGAAGCGAAAACTCTTTCCCAAGACCACCCGGCCCTAAAGGCCTCCCTCTTATCGGAAACTTGTTCGAAAGTCTCTCCCTCTCTCCCTCTTCCTTCGCGAAATGGACCGCCGAAACGGGGAGCCCCATAGTTTCGCTCAATGCCTTTGGGCAGACAATAGTCATTCTTAATTCGTGGAAAATTGCCTCTGAGCTACTCGAAAAGCGCGGATCGATTTACTCTGACCGACCGAAACCAGTGTGGTGCGGGGAATTGATAGGGTGGAAGAGCGTCGTGTTATTTGCCCCGTACGGCGAGCGATTGAGAGAGCAGAGGCGCCTCGTGAGGGGGCTCATTGACTGCAGGGAGCACATGGACAAGATTCTCAGCGTCGACGAGATGAGTCGCCACTGGAGGGAATTCCTTGGCAACTTGCTGAGAGAGCCGGAGGCATTGGATAGGCATATTCATAAGTAGGTTTTATTTCCTTTCCCCCCCGTTCGCCTTTCTAATCCAAGTATCTTAGCACTTCTGTCGGTATCCTCCTTCAGCTTTCGCACGGTATATCCTTGGATGATCACATCCAGAAAAATACCGACTCTGCGATGAGACAGTTCAGCATTGTCACCGCCCCCGGCGCTTCAATAGTAGACCTCTTCCCCCCACTCCAACACTTGCCCAAATGGTTCCCGGCTTCGTTTATCAAGCAAGCAGCTGAATACGCACGCGTTTTAGCGGACATGGTGGATGTACCTCATGGTATTGTTAAGCGGCATTTGGTGAGTAAGCCGATAATTGTTCGACAATTGACAGCTAAACCAGTGAAACAGAGCGAAAGCACGGCTAACCCGAGTTTCACGTCAACCTATCTGCAACGAGACAACGTGACTCCGGAGCAGGAGGAGCTCATCAAGTGGACCGCCGCGTCGATATATTTTGGTGGTTCTAACACTGTACGTCTTCTTTCACTATTTAAAATTTCGTCCTTTTACTGATTGTGATATGCAGAGCGTACCGACCCTCCTGACATTTTTCCTCGCGATGTCCTTGCATCCCGAAGTGCAAAGAAAGGCCCAGGCCGAAGTCGACGCTGTTACAGGCGGAACGCGTCTTCCGACACTCGAAGATCGCGCGCAAGGTCGCCTGCCGTATGTCGAAGCTATCGTCCAGGAAACTTTCAGGTGGAATCCTGCAACGCCGATAGGTAGGAGGGGCCGTTCTCGGCACTCTTTATCATCATCTGCTGCGCTTCTGACACCCGTCATCAGGCTTCCGCGAAACTACCAAAGACGACGTGTACGAAGGCTACCTTATCCCCAAGGGGTCTATTGTAATGCCGAACATTTATGGCTTCTTACACGACCCTGAGACGTACAAAGATCCGATGACATTTAATCCCGACCGGTTTATGGGCAGTGACAGGGAGAGAGATCCGAGACCACCGTGCTTCGGATTTGGAAGGAGGGCGTGTCCTGGTGAGTCGACTGGTTTTTTTTTTCATCAAGCCTAGTACTTATGGAGCCGCAGCGCTTGGACTTGGCGAAACGAATGTCTTCCTCGCTGTCTCTGCTACTCTGGCCGCGTTTGATATTACTTCCAAGTCGCAGACAGAATCACCTTTACCCGCCTCCGAATATTTTACGACCGGTGGGACGATAAGCAGACCGAAGCCATTCGACTGCGATATAAGGCCCAGGAACGAGGGGGTTGTCACACTTATAACGGCAGAAAATGATTAGGGCCTCCCTTTTACTGCTAAGCATTGAACAATCTTTATTATGACCGGATCTTACTGCTCCTAAGTATCTATGTGCTCATTATCGTTACCGTACTGTACACAACATAAGTTCTTATTACTTACGCGCTTACTAAAAGTCCTGCCTTACTTACTAGACACGCCTTATCTAGTCTAGGAATTCGACCTCGCTTTCAGGATTGTTACAGCAACATTCAGATTAATTGCATCATGCATTTTTTTTTTCGCACACAATGTCTCGTAATGAGAAAAATACTTAGCGGCGTAGACATGTCGGCGTTCCAGGCGACTTTGAAAAAACAAGTCTCCCGGGTTCAGACAGGCATTTAATTAAGAATTGTATGATAACCGGAGTCATTAGCAAATCTAGACTTAAGAGGCACCAAAGCGAGGAGAACTATCACTTGCGTATATTAAGTGAGCGAAGCTTGGCCTTTTCCAGTAACAACTGACATAGATCGTGACGACCGGACGTCCCCCCTCCCGACAGTGAAATACGTACGACAAGCCGCCACAAAAGCCCAAATCTCCAAGCTTATCTGGCACTACCCTATGTTCTTCGCTTTCTGTCCCCAACGGTTCGCTAGCTTACAATCAATGATGGCCTGTCATTGAAGGTCTGGATATCGCAACGCCGAGTCTACAAAGAGCAGCGAGTGGAGGACAGATTAGGCCAGGCTATCCATCCATGGATGATCGCGTCAGTTGAATCCTCATAAATCATGGCGGTGACTAACGTCATGGTTATGCGGCTACCTAGTACATGTAAGAGCAAGAAGAGGCTCCATAACAGGAAACAAGACACACGAGCGATTGAATACGAACGAGATGCGCCATTCGGAAGTAGCTCGTGTAATCGCTCGTTCGTCAATCATGCCAGAACGAGAAGCAACGTGAATCCAGAACGCTCTCTTTTCCTATCCAGGGTCTCGAATGCGACTCATAATCCGAGTTTAACGGTATGAGCCTATCCTCTAGAGGATATATTCGATCATCACCCCTTATTGCGCGTAGGAGCGTGGGTGGGAGACTCCAGGAAGACTTACGCTGCTTGCACTGCCGGCGATCAAGCCATCAGAGTTCCTGCATCACCATCTTTACGAGAGACCAAGAGCTATTGAGTGTAAATCAATCAGCGGATGGACGACAAACTTGGCAATCATTCTCACCAGCGGCAGCGGCCAAAATGTCAGCAGCCATGTGGATCCCTCTTCGCACAACTGAGACGGCGCCTAACGATGGGCTGTGCAGCTGAGCGGCGTCGAGTAATGGGTGCATCTTCAGAATTGAATAGTGATAGAACACGGCACAATCAAGAGTCCGCTTGTCACTCTCGAGGTTCGTCTGTTCGTGTTTAGTTCATCGCCTGGGAAAAAAGAGCCACGGGTATGGCATTATCACGAGGAGAACCCATTGTTTAGTATCAAACAGTCTTCTTGGGATGCAGATATCAGCTAAGGCGCGGAACTAATGGTGTAGACGGAGTTCTAGCCATAATTATTGCTACACCACGCGTCACCGTAGACAACAGAGAAGAATGAAATATTAGCTTTGCGTGTGTACTCACTCACTCATTGGGGCACATGTACATCGCAAAAGAAGGTTTCCATCTACGACTAACACTATAAACACACGAGAACCCCAAAATCATGGGTTCCAATGAAGTGTTCGAACGTTAGTCTCGAGTTGAGAAATTGCACATTTCACAGTCGTGGTCGGCGGAAGACGCAGCTCGGCACGCACGAGATACGTGGTATTTGGGAAGGAGGACGAAGGGGAAGATGCATCTTTATCTTCAGGCCACTCCCGGCGAGCAGCTATTTCGGGTCAATCAAAAAGCGGCAAAAATAGGCGGATGAGAGATAAATTTCTGTCGAGCGATCCTGAGCACAGCAGAAAAATGCGTCGGGCTTTATCATTAAAAGTAATCCCGACGTATGTCGTTGTGGATAAAGGCTTGGTCAAAATTTGATCCACATTCCAATCTAATAGTCAGTTGCCAAGGGTGAGGTTCATTGACAAAAGAGAATGCGCGTTGTTAAAGCCTAGGACGACCTGATATTCATCCCGATTGGTGAAAACTGAGAGTATACAGACGCTGGTCTAGAATTCGCAAGTCCCGTAAGATATCAAAAACCATGCAACATTAGGGAAGAAATTCACCAAGGTAGAATTTACGGGCGTGAGAAACTGCATCTAAATGCAGGGACGGAACCTTAACCATAGCGACCTGTTCCCCCTTTCTCATTGAAACTGACCCATTTAGGCTTTCTCTACCGCGGGAATCGGTCCTATTCGTATACCCACATAGCTCATCAGGTTGAGCGGTTCATCCTGGGGCATGTATCGGAATTGGCGGCACACACACACCCTTCGAATGTCATCACGGTGCCAGGTGAAGGGCAAATGAAAACGGATTTATCTGCTACAATCTATCAGATGCTCGGGGATCAGGTGTTCGTCCAAGAGTGACTCGTGGACAGTACGCCGACATGACCGACAGCGACGGAGATGGTGGCCCCCGAAGAAACCTGGACGGCCTTCCACGCGCCCAGGGTTCAACCGAGTCGTTCAATAGCTGCTATATGGAGCACCTTAAAGACCGTCCTTTTGACTGTCTCAATGGATTAAGGATCAGTCATCGTGATTGCTTCGTGAAACAAAAATAGCCGATAACGTGGACCTAGGGAGGAATCGAATTCGTGTTACAATAGCTTCTTGACAAGGAAAATACTCTTGAACGTCTGCATGATTGCCAGCTCGCTGTCGTAGCCACAAGGCTGAATCGTGTCCTGGACGCGGTGGAGGCATCTTTGCTTCATCATCCCTGCAGTAGCGAAACTCGGTTCTCCTGCAATGAACCGTAAGAATGGGTAACGAACAAGAGAGCACAAACGAACAGATACATCCCCATCTGTCTCCTCTCGTCTCGTAGGTCGTGCACGTCGTCTGATTCTTCCTGCAATATCACTCAGGGCTACGTTTATACGAGAAGTCCTCTAATCAATCTATCTTTTCCAGCACGAACGGCGAAGAGGGAGATTTCGTCGCTAGCGGGGGAATGCTCCCTTGAACACTGAGCGATATATCCGTGGCGCGAAACTACATGCGAACAGTTGCCTCGGCCATGATTTGACCGACCGCGCCTGCTGAACGAAGGTCTAGCTAGCCCATCGTCGATAAACGGCGATGATGGCGAAGCCGTCCAATGCGTAGCGGGCCGCGAAAAAGCCTTCGTTCCGGAAATGCCACTATTACCGATTGCTCGTCGAAGGAGACATGGAGCTCCATCAGTGACCATCCCGAAGTGCACAAGCGACTCTCTATGGGCGTCTTGAAACATAATAGATAACGAGACATGCCGTGAACTACCACTGTAATATCACGGAGATCACAGACCGGGAGTGACCTTCGGAGAGACGGTATCGCGTGCAGCGTGCAGTAGTACATGGATGAATTGGTTGGAGTTGACCCTATGAAAGAAGCTCGTCTGATACTGCAGCTTTGTTCCGTGATCCTGGCGTATCGTAAGGGGCTTTCTAAAGTCGTCAAGAGCGCTGATTTGCATACTGCAGCAGGTTTGATAATCGTTGGCTTCATCAAACCTGTTATGTGGAGAAGTTCTTCTGTAATGAATCATGATTAGAATGCATCAAAGAAAAACATCGGAACCTATTATATCCGCCAACATCCCCTTGCTTCCTTCCCCTTGAGCTACCCCGCGTCTTCGCGCATTACGAGACGTATTGCGGGTCACCAATTTAGACCATCCCCGTTGGGCTGGCTTCACAGTGCAGAGCAATAACAGTACTTCAAACCGAGGAAGCATCCGCTCCAGATGAGCAAGGTATAGGACACGAACGTACGAAGCACGATGACTGATGACACCTACATCGTGATTGCACATAGCATTCTGTCGTGATTGCGAGTGGGAACATCGGGAGAAGCTAGCGGATGCGTTAGAGCGGAGCAACGGCTTGAAAGTTAATGCGTAAACTAACACACGGTGTAGAACATTCCTCTCTAATCCAGCCGACATCGGATACAAGCAAGTCGCAAGTCTCGTGAACAAGGGAAAGGGACAATGCTGAGAACGGAACCGCAGCAAAGGAGATGTTTAGTATTTGCCACCCTCAGACTGTCACCATCATGTAAAAAAGAGCACACGAAGCTGACGTGAAGTTGACTGTATCAAAAGTCGACTAGCCTTCTCAGATGCACATTGAAAATGAAAAATGACGAGGATGCCTGGAATCAATGCTACGGCTATTTGATGTGAAGCCACTGATAATCAATCATCTTATAGGTACCGACAATTCCTAATGACACAACCTATGATTCAGAGCCTTGCGAGTTCCTAATCGCCATGAGAATGGCGGAAACCTCGCCGAGAAAAAATCATGCACCATTCCAGCAGCACTAGCAAAGACTTAGAACGGCACATAGGGACCTGCAACAAAGGCCTCACCTCGTCCCCCTGACGTCGACTACTGAAAGACAAAGTGTTGTGACTGGGACGGCGAGAGCTGCACGTAAATATACATATTTTCGACCCTGAAATCCAAGTGAACGTCTTCAGGAGAGCGATTGAAACATGAGCCTACATAAGGCTATGGGGCGACTCATCGCACGAGATGCCTCTTCGAGAGCAGTTATTGTCATGGATTGTAACGGTGCGAGGATCGCATGTATGGACTGGAGAGTCTAGTGTCGGAACTGACTTCCTTTGCAGCTGTTCTGGATGGACCATTATTCCCAATTCTCTGTAACCTGAGTGATCTCGTCCGCAATTGGATAGCGGACCATGACCCTCGCGAGCAAAAAGGAGATCCGACAAGACCGTAAGGAGACCCTACGGTTACGGTAGTGAATGCTATTTATTGCATCAGATACGGCATTGTTTCATAACAATGAATACTCACGACACAGGGCGAAACTCGTCATGAGAAGTATATGAGGGCTAGAGGATGATACATTCATGTCTATTGCGGCCCAAATCCAACAAGTACCCTGGCGACCAGGGAAAATATCACGGGAACCTCCCCGATACCGTCATCAAAGGTCAGAACCTTGGAATGAATATTGAATCTGTATACATCAACAGAAGTATAGTACCTACCCCCTCGAAACATGACAAAATTGTCATCCGTCTCCGGGGGACTCGAGACAAGAGTATTGTATCACAGCTAGGCGTACGATTGTCTGCTCCAAAAAGTTGTAGACAATGAGCGCTATCGATGACTGGTCAGCAAGGAAATACGGTGAAGATAAATAGACAGCATACAGTACGCCACACGCTATGAGGCCGTGGCACGCTCTTATGAGACCGAAGAGCGGAAGTGGCAATTTGGGACTCGCTGCAGGCGACGTCAACCATGAAAAGGAGACAACAGACAACCTTGAAAGCGTCACCTGATGGTTGAGGGGGTGGATCCTGTTCCCGGTAGCAGTGGTCGGCGGTAACGTTGGCTAAGTTTCGTTCCTGTAACCAAGATTCAGCATATATCCAGCACTCCGCATGATTCTCTAACCTCTTTCAATATCCGAAGTTCAGCAACCAGTTTCATTAGAGCCAGAGCAACCTCACCTCACTCTGCGGCTACAAAAAAGTGGAATGAGGCAGATGACTGTACACGGCTGAGAATAAAGGTATGAAGGGAAAATGAGAGAACGGACGCTTTGCCTCTCGTGAATCATCTAAAGTGACGATACATCACAAACTAGGTCGGTGCTACTTTCGACGTGTATGCACGATTACTGAGAAAGGTCTTGTGAGATACATCATGAACAGCAAACGGGAGGGAAGTCGAATCACCTCGAGCAGTGATCTGATCAGTGGCCGCCGCGCCTATTCCAAGCTATATGACCGTCATGAAATCGCTTCCTCCAAAGAAATAGGACCTTTGGCAGCCATCAGTCCCTCCGGAATACGAAAAATCGCCAGGACGAGGGCGATGGAGGATTTATGTCGTACGAGACGTGATGCCTAAGAAATCTTGTCAGAATGTGTTTGTATGCGCGACAGAAATGCGCAATAATTACCGTTCCAGTTGTCACACGTGTTACCCATGATACGTCCTCTTCATCGTCATCCAGAAAATGGCAGAAAAAGGTAGATGCTAGGCATAGAATGGAGCGGGAAAGAGAATGGGGTGCGTGTCAGTGGAGATGACGATGGTCGGAAGGAAAACCGGATCCCGGAAGGCCTGAACCTACGGCTTCGTAAGCAAATAAAACCAAGCGATGACTCCCGATTTGGGAAACGACAGGGACATCCTAGCAAGAGGCGATTCTTCGTATTCCAGAGCCCTTGGATCTGGCCTAGTCCAGTTACGGTTCAGCAGCCATTCATATAACAACCAGAATCGGAATTAAAATATTCTAATGCATGGATATTCACAGTGATATCGATAAACTTTAAACGAGTGGTCCAAACCAAGACCTACAAAATAATGAAACGAGTGTGAGCCAAGATACCAGGAAATTTTCTTTATATTCCATCGCTTCACAATTTCGCTTTAGTATCCTCAATTGACTGCCTATGCTTCCTGAACCATTTCTTGTCTGAATCAATGCCCATCCCATTCTCCCTGAGCCAAATCGCGTAAATGCCTGGGCAGAAAGACCTATGCTTGACCCAGAAGTTAGGGTAATAGTAACCATTGCGACTGTCCAGTGCCACGGCGCTATCACATCCCTTGCAAACGACCCTATACTTCTCAATGACTTTAACCCATTTGTCGGCGTCTAGGAACTCCTTGCGTTCGTGGCAAGTCTTCCTGATCATCTTCCCGAATTCGTTGTGGTTCGGCATCGGATAAGTGCACTCGGACATGAAATGACTGTGCAGCAACGTGTCGTTGCGTACAAGCCATTCGTAGACTTTGGGAATCCGGCTGAGGTCAACGAAGTCGAAGCGTTGAGCGCGGTTTTGTAGTGGGGGAATGCGAGGAGGGAGGGGAGGGCTGAGATTGAGATTAATTGTGAGAAACGCAAGGGTTGGATGAGAGGTGAAAAGAACGTGCCTGGCGGAACCAGAAGCCTCAGCCAGTTGCTCGGAACGATGGACGATGAGGTGAGGACTGAGTTAAGCCGTCAGTACTATGCAGTGAAGACAATCCAGAATTATAACATACACTTGAAATACTACCAGACTAGCTTCGTACTTATCCAGCTTCGACGGACGTCCAGCGTCCCCGTCAACGCTAGATACGCACTCAGTGTGCTGCGATATAAACCATTCCGGAAGGACGCACGATGAAGCGCTCTTATGACCACCACAGTCGCTACTCGTCTCCGGGGTGTCTTCAACCGTAGACGCCCTCACGGCACGATCTTCAGGATACATCCTGAGCCAGAGAGGGATCTGCTCCAGAGCGCAGTCAGCAAGTGTGAGCATCGCACTGCGTTCAACTTCGCATGGTGCCATTTCAGAGTGGTATAAAATCTGAGAGTTGGTGGGGGGGGAGGTGATATTCTGCGAGCTATGAGCTGAGCTTTTTAAATGAAATGGAAGTGCATGGGGGCCGAGTGGCATTCAACATTGTCTTGCGACGATTTCTAAAAGGAGAAAATAGAACATTGTAGCTCCTGCTTGTCAATTGATGAAGAAGACAAAGACTTTGTCCTCACGGCACATTCCAGCATTTCCATCTTGTCGTCACGATTACACTCCTGAAAATTTCGCTAGGCAGGGCGGGCAGGGCGGTCAGAGACATACACTGGCCATGTGGCCCTAGGCAATTTGTGGGCTAAGACCAGCGGCTGGGAGAAGTTCCAGTGGCAAACAAAGACCATTTTCTCGGTGCCAAGAGAAATTTAAAAAGTTATCAAAAACTAGAGCTTCTCACGTATCGATGTTGAAGCACCTTTCCTAATCGTACAATGTCAAAGCTTGTAAAGTCGGTTTTATGACAAGCACCGGTCCCTACCTTAGGTTATGGCATAGAAACGGCCACACTCCGGTCACTCTTGTGAGCGAATGGCACATCTACGTGTTCCAATACAGTGGCGGTCATCCAGAAATTGAGACCTGACCTTGAAAAAAGGCTAGCTGGTAACATCAAGTCGGTTGCCTCGATAACCGAACTAACAAGTGGAGGTGGCTGCAGCGAATAAATCCAGAAACGCTTTGAAATATATCATACTTGAAAGAGTCTCCAAATCCATGGCTTTCGCAAAACAGGACAAAAATACATTCCATAGCCGTACATTTGTCTTATCAAGAAGCTCAGTGCAAGACATGAGAATCTCGAATACAGGGCTGGGAAAACTTTGAGGACATGTAGCAGGACGAAGCATGCACAGCGGCCTAGTAAAACATGTTTTGTCGGATAGCCATCTTGGAAGCTGAAGGTGATCCCAGTGCAAGCAGCATAGAAGAAAAGTATTTATCAGAGAATTTTGTTATCTTTCCGTACTCGATGCCAGCGGTAGAATGTATCATGAAGGAAAAGCAAGAGCAAGGTTCGCTTGTTGGTCGCACCCGCGAAGAGTCGGAAGGAAGTCGGGAGTCGGGACACTATTGGTGGCTGTACCATAAGGGCCGGTTAACCAAAGATCAACGATCTCAACGGACGCGAACGGAACCTTCGCTCGAACCGCGACCATCCACATTACTGTCACTGTTATCACGCGTAAACAGGCACTTTCTGCATGTGTAATGTCCTGTTTCCTGGTATAAAAGCTGCTCGCTCCCGCACCAGCAAGGAAGAAGGTAAACTTCACTTTTCTGCACTTTTTCTGATATGCTTCTTTGTGTATTTAGATGAAAATTCGCTTGTTCGAGAAGTAAATGTTCGTCAATACCATGGTATCCCCTCCTGAAGGGCGTACACGCGAGGTTTCATCCCAACAGAGTGGCCAAGGTGGTTGAATAGAGCAGCTTCGCAGGTACGCTGCAGCACTGGCATTGTATCGTTATTTGCGTTGCTGCTCTGGAAGGTATGTGCGTTTCCGTTCGTATGTTTCGGGCTATATACTGAACGCTTGGTGTAGAGGGCGCCTCTCATCTAGGAAGAACAATACTCGGACCACTGGTAGATTCCTCTTGTACCAGTTACCCCCATTTTGTGAAGGTCTTCGTGGCTGGATGGCGAATAGCATATGCGAGAATGGGTTTGCTGTAAATGCTCCGTATGTTCCGCTCGAGATTTACCCCGCTATCCTCTAACACGATGACCAGCCAGGTCTTACCGTATCGCGATATGGCTTGTGTTCAATATAGCATTCTCAGTGATCAGCTCAGTTTCCACTGTCCGTTTTGGTAGTTTGTCCTGTCGCCACTTTTATATCACTGGGGTCCACATGCCTCACATTTTGCTGGTCCAAGATACGTGATGCGGAATGGGCAAGGATATGTCTCTCGGATGGAAGAAAGTCGGGTCTAGCGGCTTGTCTTGGTTTTTTTCGCCTTTTCGATATGCGGAGATTTATAACGAAATCGATGCTCAGAAGCTGGTAAGTGGACTTTGGCTGGTCGCAATGATGTTGTTCTGACTACCGCGTAGATTAAGCCAACAGCATTGTCAATGGGCTCTGAAGTGCTCAGCGGTCATCGGTGATGGTCCTCGATTGGGAAAATCACGTCGACATATGGAAGAGGTAGGTTACTTCCGGTTTGACTGATTCTCGCGTTTACTGGACATAGCAATGTCCCATCAGACGCTTCGTCCCGAGGAGTGCGTTGTTTGACTCTCGAACTCTCCGTCGGTGGGAGTGATGTGCTTTGAACTGCTTTTCGCGATAATGGTTAGCCAGGCTCGTCCAGCTACTATGCGAGAAGAGCATTTATTGTCCGCGGATGCAAACGGTATCGAGAATCGACGACTATGTTTACTGGGGCCGCTTCTGCTTCAAGTACGGGCGAGACCTGTGAGAGCACCGAAGGGGTGGGCTATTCCTGTTATTGTGCTCTTCTCTGTCGTTGACCGTGTATTATTTGAAGGAGACTGTTCACTGGCGCCAAAGGTGCATCCACTGAAAAGCCAGTTTTGAACGCGGTTACATGCAAGCACGAATATTGGACCTATATTGGCGGACGTCAGTACCCTCCCCCCAACCCCTCCTTTCCTCGTATAAATGGCCCCGCGGATCCTCTTGCCTGCATCACAAACATGAACACCAACCGCAACCAGCTGTGCTCTACCAACAGCAACAAAACGTGGGAAGCTTCGATTTCCACTATCACTCGTCGTGCCGAAGAGGAATTCAATCCGCAATAAAGCACCCGATGCGACCAGACATTATGGTCCATCAAGCATATGCGGAACCATCTCGACCTATCTGGTCGACACCCGTACCGCCATACCTGTAGGCGGGGTTTCTTGAACAATAACTCCTATAAGATGGTAGGTCCCTTTTCTCATTTTCGTGTACCTCGACATCGACTGACTGTTTCCTCGCAGCCACTGTTCCTATCGGATTATCATCACTGTTGTGACGAGGGCGATGAGGAGTTCCAGTCCTCCTCTGCTCTTAATCAGCATGATGAGCAACCAAGTCGGCACAACTGCTATTACGAAGAAGGTGATTGCGAGAGGAGCCCTGAAGGGTTGGAAGATGCTGGCTCGCAAGGAAGAGCAGGGGAACCAGGAAGAGGCTGTCGCCCTCGAATAAATCGAAGAGGAAACTCCGATGTTCCGGGTGGAGGTTGGTATCGCGATCTTGGTAGGTTCGCTTCTACATTCTACCTTACTCACGCTAACGGCGTATCTCGTAGCATCTCAAGAAACGAATGCAACGCCAGCCTATACCAAAAGCCACTGTGAAACAGACATGACCGGTGTGCTTGTGTCCATCGTAAGTTCTCTTCTCTCGCAGTGTAAGGGCATGTAACTGATTTTCATCGTAGATGCATCCGCCAGACATTTATACGGAGTCAGGGATGGCCATCGTGCCGACAGCCTGGTCGTCTTGGCCAGCTGCAGAAGATCGATTTG